GCAGACCAAGATGAATAGACAAGATCAAGGCACTGCAGCAGAAGTCGGAGCACTCCTTGGTTCAGCACCTGCTGCGTTGCCTTCAGCTTGTCTAGTCGTCTTGGCTGAGAGAGCTCACGAGTGCATCCCCGAGGGTGCAGACCAAGCTGAATAGACACTATCAAGGCACTGCAGCAGAAGTCGGAGCACTCGTTGGTTTACCACCAAGTGCTGCGCTGCCTTGAGCTTGTCGAGTCATCTTGGCTGACAGAGCCGAAGAGTGCACCCCCGAGTGTGCAGACCAAGCTGAATAGACACTATCAAGGCACTGCAGCAGAAGTCGGAGCACTCCTTGGTTTACCACCAAGTGCTGCGCTGCCTTGAGCTTGTCGAGTCGTCTTGGCTGAGCGAGCAGGCGCGTGCACCCCCGAGGGTGTAGAGCAGGCCCCTTTTCCTGGCATCGCTCGGACGTGTGCATTTTTCATTCGGCGAGGACCATCGGGTAGCATCCTTGATCATTTGGCGAGAAAACCACGCACAAAACCAAAAAAAAACAGGGAATGGACGTCCGAGCGATGGCCAGTTTCCCAATGCAGGCAGCGCCCCCTCGAAGGGCCGGCGCCCCCCGGGCCTGCCGTGCAGGCGACGGCCCCGCGTTGAGAGCGAGATGCTTACCTCGAAGCCTCTTCGTCCCTCTGCGGACAGAGCTTACCAGTTTGAAACAGATCCTCCTCCTCCTCCTCCTCCTCCTCCTCCTCCTCCTCCTCCTCCTCCTCCTCCTCCTCCTCCTCCTCCTCCTCTCCGTCCCTGCACCACCGAGGATCCGAGGCCCTTCCTGGGTCTCTGGAGGCCAGCAGAAACCCGGAGAGACCTCCTGGGAGGAGTTTTCCAAATTGCGAAACTGCGAAATTCCCGAAATTCCTTATGTTTGACATCACCTCACCTCGATGCCGATCTTAAGGATTCCCTCAGGCTCTGAGGGCGTATCCCTGAGATTGTCCTCGCTTTTTGCTCGCCCATCTTAGGGATAGAGATAAGTTCGAGGCTGGTTCATAGGGCGGAGTGCGTCAAGGTGTGACCATGCTATGTCACGACATGTCCAGCGATCTAGATATGTCCCCGTTTTGAAACAATGGCCGCCCCATCTGTGCAGTTCCTCAGCCGAGATGCCGCCTTTGACCGAGGGCGTCGACGAAGTCCCAGGCGGGAGCCCCAGCTTGGAGCTGCGCCGGCCTCCATCCGTGCAGTTGGGGCATCTGTTCCAGTGTCTGGTTCTCCACTCATCCTAGGTGGGGCTGTTGCTGCCTCTGCAACATGCTCCGCGCAGGCATTCATCCACCCTGCATCATCAGGATAATCATAGTAATCACCATCGTTAGCATTCTCATCATTATCACCATCATCACCACCATCATCATCACCATCATCGCCATCATCATCCGTATCAGCATCATCATCATAATCATCATCATCATCATCACCGTCATCATCATAGCCCTTTGCTCAGGCCGTGGCCTGGACGGGGCTTCCGAGGCGCCCTGGCGCCCCCTCCCCTTCCCCCTCCCCCTCTCCCCCTCCCTCTCCCGCCGCGCGCGCGGCCGCGCCTGGGATGGTCGTCGCTGCTCGCCTTGACTGGCTCCGAGGCCAACTGGATGCGGGCGTGCCCTGCTCCCTGCATGTGGGCTCCCGCTCTGGACGCGACGAGGTGCAAGGTCAAGTGCACCTTGTGGCCGCTCGGCGCCCCTGCATCCGACCTGACGCGCGAGCTCACCATACAATGCCTGGAGGTGGTGGCGGCTCGCATCATTGGCAACGTGTTGGTGGACAGGGGCCACAAGTACTCCGACGGTAAGGTCGAGGCGGCCTTCTGGATTCAGGCGGCTGTGCCCTCTATACTTGCTTCCCAACCTGACGAGGACGTTGGCGATGATCCTGATGGTGGTGGCTGGGATGATCAGGGCGATGGCGATCGCACAGGCGGACACGTTGGGCGTCGCCGTTTACTTCCAGGACATGACGGGCCACAGCCGCCTCCACGTGGTGCTGACCCCTGGCACGCTGGCTTTGGAGACCCGTGGTCTTCGAATGGACCGCCGCAGAACGCACCTCGGAATCGACAGCCGTTGCCTGAGGTCCCTCCATTCCCATTCAATCCGTCGGCGGCCATTTTTCGCCCTGCTGGTGGTGATGTTGACGTCCTACTCCGCGAACTTGAGCCTCACTCTCGCGACAGACCGGGTGTATCTACCCCTGGCTTTCTTATCCCCGAGTGGCAAGATGATATTGTTGATCAAATGATGTATGAGCATGATGACAGTGAGGACTTTTTCCCTCATGGTGCAGTTCCCACTGGAGGGCTACGTGATGGTGAGGAGTCTCTTCTGGGCCCTGGAGTGCCACCTGATGGTGCCGATCTTCAGCGTGAAGTGCTTCCTGATGGTGTGGATGTTGGTGGGGTGCTGCCTGGAGTTGCGGATTTTCCTGGTTAGGTGCTCCCTGGAGGGCCCCATGGAGATGCTGATCTTCTTGGTGAAGGGCTTCCTGGAGGAGTGGAGCTACCTGGCGGGGCGGAGCTTCAGCGAGACGCACTCTCTGGAGGGCTACATTGTGGTGCGGATCCCCTTGGAGAGGTGCTTCCTGTGGGAGTGGAGCTACCTGGTGATGCGGATCTTCAGCGTGACTTGCTTCCTGACGGAGGTGATGTTGGTGGGGTGCTACCTGGAGGTGCGGATCTACCTGGCGAAGTGCTCCCTGGAGGGCTTCATGGTGGTGCGGATCTTCCAGATGAGACACATTTCTTTTCTGATTTCGTCATTGACACGGCTGAGGCTCTTCTCAACGATACAGTAACTCCTGGGAGTGGGAATGGGGAAGATGGAGGCCCCGAGGTCCTGAGGCAATCCGCCGAAGCCGATGAGGGACTTCGAAAAACCCATTCGCGCCGATGCTCAAGATGATATTGGGGCTCTCTCTGACGATGTTGTGGCTCCTCTGTGTCAGTATGGGGAAGATGGAGGCCCCGAGGTCCTGAGGCACGGTGCCGCCGAAGATGGACTTCGAAAGCCCATTCGTGGTGCTGTTCCTGGCGGTCCTCGGTATAGTGCGGGTGCTATATCCGATTCTGCATTCGTCGCTGAGTTCATGTCGGATGTGACCTCCTTGGTTGCTCTTGTTACTGGCTTGGTCGAGTCCGCGTCTGCCGATACTGTGGTCTCTGTGGGCCTGACATGCGAAGATGGGGGCCCCGAAGTCCACGTGGTACCTATCCGTGCTCCTCTCTCTGACGATGCTGTGGCTCATCTGTGTCAGAACAGGGAAGATGGAGGCCCCGAGGTCCTGAGGCAAGGAGCCGCCGATGATGGACTTCGAAAACCCATGCGCGCGAGCACTTCTGCTACAGACCCTCTTCATGTGGACAGTGACTCTGAGACTGTGATTGCGGATGACGACGACATTGCTGATTTCGTGCGTTCTTGGATTGCTGCGCGGGACCCGAGCCGCCTCTCGCTCCGACTCGTCCTGCAGGCAGCTACTCGCTGGTTCGGCCCACTCGGCCGTGACTGCAAATATCGGATTCGCACTATGGCTGTCGACGTCATGGTAGAGATGCTCCCAGTGGATTCGCCGAGCCTAGCGGCGGAGCCAGGCTCTGCGAAGAGGCGGCGCGGAGCGGCGGGTGCCCGCCCCCCAAAAGAAAACCAACAAAAAAACAGCACCGTCATCATCATCATATTCATCACCGTCATCATTATCATCGTCATCGTCATCGTCATCGTCATCACCACCACCATCATCATCATCGTCATCATCATCATCATCATTACCATCATTACCAGCATTACCATCACCATCATTCTTTTGTTGCCGGATCAACGGTTTGAAGTCTTGAGCAGGCGCGTATGAGACAGCCGCCGCCAGATCCAATTCAGTTTGCGCGGATCCAATGTTGGGTTTGATTTTTGCTTAGGCGGATCCGAGTTCCGTCTGCCTGGATCCCAGTTCGGATTTCCTGGATCCGCACCCGGTGTGTTCTCCGACGGCCGATCCGAGTTCTATTCCGTTTATAAATTCCGATGGTTCACTTCAAACGGGGAGCCCGCCCGTGGAAGCATCCACGGGGAAAGGGGGGTCGGTCATCGACCTCCCAAGATGGGTCTTTTGTTGTCTCGCGCGCTTCCATCAACTTCCCGCGCGCCCGGGCCCCACCCGACATGAGTATATACATATGTTTCTCCTCCCGATTGCTGCACGCAGCTAGGGGGCCAAATGCGAACCCTACCCCTACCCCCTACGATTTATCAGGGGGTGGGTGGGTTTCATTTCATTCGGGAGCTCCCGAACGAAGTGAACCCCCTTCCCCCTCAGAAATCTTGGGGGGTAGGGGTAGGGTTCGCATGTGGCATGTGGCCCCCTAGCAGCTCACGCCCATGTTTGGTGGGATTGTTCTCCACCGCCACCACCAAAAGTAGGAGGGGAGGGGGTTCTTCCTCCTCCTCCTCCTCCTCCTCCTTTTCTTCCTCCTCTCATTCCTCCTCATGGTCCACCTCCTCCTCCTCCTTTTTGTCTTCCTCCTTTCATTCCTCCTCCTCATGGTCCACCTCCTCCCCCCCTCCAAGTTGTGGTGGTGGTGGTGGAATACGGGCCCGTCAATATTACCTCGCGAGCTCCTCGCCGCCGCTTCCGCCTCGAGAGGCAGATCTCTCGTCCTGCGCAGGCAGGGAGAGGCGCCCGCGAGGGGCCGGGCTCCCGCGGGGCGCGCGCCCGCGGGCCTGAGAACCGCGGGGCGCGGGCAGGGCTGCGTGCTCGGCGCGGGGGGCGCGTTCGCGGGGGGCTCCGGGAGCCGCCGGCCGACGGAGGCCGACCGTGTCCAGGCGGCGTCGCCGAGGACGCAGGGCGCCATGGATGGACTGTTGGGCTGCCCCTCTTCACGGGGGGGGGGGGGGAACACACACAGACACAAGTAATCGTCGATGTCCCAGAAAATATGGGAAAATGTGGGCAGTGGGGGGGAGTCAAGAACCCAGAGCACATGTGAACATATGGGGAATGTTTTTTTTTGTGTGTACTTGTTTGTGTGTCCCAGGGCCCCTTTACCTCTGTGCAGTGTCAACAGTAT